GCTCTTTGCAACGCCGGGGTTCGATTCCAGCTGCGGGCCTTATACCTTGCGGTCACTTCGATCGAGAAGCAGACCGTCCAGAAAGCAGTGGCAAACTACTGAACGTAGATTTGCATAGAAAAACCACAACAGCCCACAAATGCCCAGGTCTCACGACTGCATGCAGACTATCTACCACCCCCTGAAATATAAGACTGTCCTGCGACCTGGAACTTCCCCTGTTTGGGGTAGGATATTAATAAAGCTACCGTAAAAGTGTCTTAGTTTGCTTCACCATTACAACGAAAGGCATGTTAATGGGTGTCTGGTTAAAACTTTATTTTTTTTTCCTCTAAATGTATATGTTAATGGGTGTCTGGTTAAAACTTTATTTTTTTTTTTCTCTAAATGTATATGTTAAAGGGTGTCTGGTTAAAACTTTATTTTTTTTTCCTCTAAATGTATATGTTAAAGGGTGTCTGGTTAAAACTTTATTTTTTTTTCCTCTAAATGTATATGTTAATGGGTGTCTGGTTAAAACTTTATTTTTTTTTTTCTCTAAATGTATATGTTAAAGGGTGTCTGGTTAAAACTTTATTTTTTTTTCCTCTAAATGTATATGTTAATGGGTGTCTGGTTAAAACTTTATTTTTTTTTTTCTCTAAATGTATATGTTAAAGGGTGTCTGGTTAAAACTTTATTTTTTTTCTCTAAATGTATATGTTAAAGGGTGTCTGGTTAAAACTTTATTTTTTTTCTCTAAATGTATATGTTAATGGGTGTCTGGTTAAAACTTTATTTTTTTTTCCTCTAAATGTATATGTTAATGGGTGTCTGGTTAAAACTTTATTTTTTTTTTTCTCTAAATGTATATGTTAAAGGGTGTCTGGTTAAAACTTTATTTTTTTTCTCTAAATGTATATGTTAAAGGGTGTCTGGTTAAAACTTTATTTTTTTTCTCTAAATGTATATGTTAAAGGGTGTCTGGTTAAAACTTTATTTTTTTTCTCTAAATGTATATGTTAATGGGTGTCTGGTTAAAACTTTATTTTTTTTTCTCTAAATGTATATGTTAAAGGGTGTCTGGTTAAAACTTTATTTTTTTTTTCTCTAAATGTATATGTTAAAGGGTGTCTGGTTAAAACTTTATTTTTTTTTCTCTAAATGTAAATGTTAAAGGGTGTCTGGTTAAAACTTTATTTTTTTTTTCTCTAAATGTATATGTTAAAGGGTGTCTGGTTAAAACTTTATTTTTTTTTCTCTAAATGTATATGTTAAAGGGTGTCTGGTTAAAACTTTATTTTTTTTTCTCTAAATGTATATGTTAAAGGGTGTCTAGTTAAAACTTTATTTTTTTTTCTCTAAATGTATATGTTAAAGGGTGTCTGGTTAAAACTTTATTTTTTCTCTAAATGTATATGTTAAAGGGTGTCTGGTTAAAACTTTATTTTTTCTCTAAATGTATATGTTAAAGACCTTTTAACGTGCAATCATGCATATTGTGTATTAACGGCTAGATCTTGGTGGTGATGTATTCAACGTCACCCGACCGCCTTTACTTCTTAGGACGCTACCTGCACACACTTAAGGTTAGGTCGATTTGGGAGCCAAAATCAGTTTTGCGGGGACAAAAGGTTGACTCCGTTTGGATTTGAACCCAGGACTTTCACATTCGCAGGCAAGCGTCTAGCCGCTACCTCACGGCGTATCCCATTTATATTTACTTGTTCGTATATGTGTTCGTTCTTGTCACAAACCAAGAAACTCTAGACAGTGTGATAACCAAGAGAAGATGGAAATGGCTTGGCCACGTTACGAGAATGAATCTTGATATACCTGCTAAAACAGCTCTTACATGGATACAAGAGGGAAAGAGAAAACAGGGGCGCCCAAAAACAACATGGAGACGAACGAGGGAAAGTGACCTGAGTGTGGCATCTTTGACATGGAAAACTGCAGTGAAGATTGCACAGGACAGGAAAGCATGGAAAGTCCTCTCTGAAGCTTCATATGTCACTAGGCTTAAAGAGAAAATTTATGTGTTCGTGAATGTATATGTGCATGTATGTGTGTGTTTCTGTGTGTGTGTGGTACAATCATGAATCTAAAACCAGTGTGGTGCAAAACTGAGTGATGTATTGTATCTATAACAGATCACAACCTACCTCATAGCCTTGCACATTTCAACGGATTCGTACAGATAGTAGTGTCGCACGTCAAATATCTCTGACGGAACTCCCACACAGCTGCTCAGTAAATCGAATATCCCCAGACAAAGCAGCAGGAAGTTCTGGCTGTTTCTCCGCAACTTCCTAGTGAATATGTAGCAGATGAGAATATTCCCGGCAACACCCACCACCATAACAGCAACCAGAACTACAACAGTTGGAGCCAGACGTCGAAACATGTCGTCGTTCAACGCGGTTAAGATGCTGATGTTCTTTGGGTGGTAGCCGGCTGTTACATTTGTTCTTTGTTCTTCTGGATTGTTGAAGTTGTAATCAATTCCTTCGAGCTTCATGGCAGAATCCTATTTTACGGATTATCAGTAGAATGGTCAGGTGGTGTTGGATGACATGCTTAATGTAACACCTCCCAACGTGAAGGCAGTTCTGTGAATAGAACAAAATGAGAAAATTTCTAGTTTTTGCCTTTTTTTTTTTTTTTTTAAGGTTAGTGCTGTTACTTAACAAGGTGTGTTGTTAATTCGCAAGAAAATGTTGTTAATAAGTACATGAGTATTGGAGGGAAAAAAAACACATCGGACATGTAATTGGAATAACAATAAGTAATTAGTACAATATTTAGGACACATTAAGCAATTTAATACCATTATAAAAACCGCACTAAAAGAAAAAGGTTAGGCGGGCAGACGAGCAGGCGAGGGGAAATGGTAAACATCGATACATATGGGAGGCTACAATCTAGAGACTGATGACTAGCAATCTTAGAGACTGCACAACCAGGACAAAAGGCAGTGTTGGAGATTCGCTGCAGCCAACCTTCGTTGAGCTGATGGCACCTTATTGTCTGACCGATGTTTATTAACACAATGAGTAGGTAAGTAACAACAATAATACATTTTAGCAGGAAATTTAAAAAAACCATGGATGGGTCCGGTGAGGGTATTTTTTTTCCTGGCGGTTCGTAGCACTGGCACCTTTTTTTCTTAAGGATCATTACTTATTTAGAGCTAATGTAATAAAAATTGTGTGTGTGTGTCGGCACCTGTTTTGGACATTTGTGGTGCGCAACTGCCCATTTTAAAATTTAGTTAAGTTAGCTGCGTGTCCTTTGCAGTACGTTGCAGAACCAGCACTAGCATTCGAGGTGGATTTACATCTAGAAGTTTGCCATTAAGTGCTGGGGTTGGTTCTGCAACGTCCTGTAAAGGATACGCAACTAATTTAAGAATTTAAGTTTGCCATTGCGACTGAATGGTCACCTCTCGATACCACTGTCGAAACCGGTATCGAACTCGGCACACGGTATCGAACTTGGCACCCGGTATCGAGCTCAGCACCAGGTATTACGAATCGCCTTTATAACAGCTAAGCCACAGACGCCGACTTATTTTTGACAACAGAAGCAAGTAAGTACATTTTACCTCACATTTAGACAACAACAGTAAGTAAATAAGTAAATTTTACCCCACGTTTAGACAACAACTTGAAGTAAGTAAGTAAAGTTTACCCCACGTTTAGGCAACAACAGTAAGTAAGTAAATTTTACCCTACGTTTAGACAACAACAGTAAGTAAGTAAGTAAATTTTACCCCACGTTTAGACAACAACAGTAAGTAAATTTTACCCCACGTTTAGACAACGACAGTAAGTAAATTTTACCCCACGTTTAGACAACAACAGTATGTAAGTAAATGTTACGCCACGTTTAGACAACAACAGTAAGTAAGTAAATAAATTTTACCCCACGTTTAGACAACAACAGTATGTAAGTAAATGTTACGCCACGTTTAGACAACAACAGTAAGTAAATAAGTAAATTTTACCCCACGTTTAGACAACAACAGTAAGTAAATTTTACCCCACGTTTAGACAACAGTATGTAATTAAATTTTACCCTACGTTTAGACAACAACAGTAAGTAAGTAAGTAAATTTTACCCCACGTTTAGACAACAACAGTAAGTAAATTTTACCCCACGTTTAGACAACAACAGTAAGTAAATTTTACCCCACGTTTAGACAACAACAGTATGTAAGTAAATGTTACGCCACGTTTAGACAACAACAGTAAGTAAGTAAGTAAATTTTACCCCACGTTTAGACAACAACAGTAAGTAAGTAAATTTTACCCAACCAGGACATCACACAGAACGATAAACACCCGGTGACACAAAGTGCCACCTTGCGGATGAAGATCACCCGTGGAGATGTCCCGGAAAACCCCTTCAACCGTTAGGGCCCCCGGCAAGAGCCAGAATGGAGCTTTAAAATAACGAAAAATTGCATTCCACGAGGGGACAACTTATATGAGAGATAACAACAACAAAAGCTCTGGGCGGGGCAAGCCCTATCCTTTACTAAAATAGTAGCTACAATGAAATGATTTATACAGTTATGGTGGTCAGAGAGTGGTCAACAGAGTAGCAATGTTTCCTTCTAGTCATAGAAGAACATAACATCTCAAGTGAATTGATAAATAATATAGGGGTCTGCGTTGTCTCGAGGCATGGCGTCCATCTCGAGGGCTAGGGGTCACGGGTTCAGCCCCCGGTGAAGGCTGGGATTCTTTTACGTGGACTTCTAGTAACTTTCCTTGGTCTCTAGGTAGTCAGATCGGACGCCCGTGAGTATTGTTACGCGCGTAAAAAATCCTTTGGCGGTTGGAAATCGAAAATAGTAGTAAACGACGCTGCCCGGGTAAAATTTTGAGTTAAAAATCTACCCAAAAAATTTCACGAACCTCGCCGGTGCTACGGAGTTTGTGCACTGCACTGAGAGGCTTCGGACTCAGACTTGTCTCAGAAATAGAACAGAGAATTTATGTGTTACTACCCTTGTGCCATGATGCTGATCCGTTGTTTAACCCTAAACCTAAACCTATGATAAAATGAACAGATTCTTTCAGGTAAATTTAGATTTTAAAAGACAACATCGGACAATAATTCGTCGTAATCTTCCCTTTTATGAATACTATTATATAACAGTGAGTGCAAGAAAATGACCAGGAATAATATTAAACAAAAATTTTTCACAATAAATGTCCAATGAGAATCCTGCGAATACTTTAGAGTTCACAGTGGAAGAACTGAGAAGGACAACACAACGTTAATCACTGGCAGACCATATCAAGCTGCAGATGGTTCGGCATGATTGTAGAATCATTCTCATGACACTAAAGATTTGGACAGCTCTCTGGTGGACGGCAGAAAAGAAAATGAGACCTTGACCACACAAGTCAGTGCTATTTAACTAAATTTACTCAAGGGCCAACATTGAGAAATTCTGGATTGTCGCGGGCTAAAGACCCGAGCCCAGGCATAGAAAAATCATTAATACAACTGGCAATGATTCGCGGCCACTTGATAGACCTCTGTGGGCCAGATTTGGTCCGCAGGCCGTCAGCTGAATAGCCCTGACATCAGAAAACCTGGGGAGCTACAGTAGAAAGGGAAAAGAAGCAGTGTAAACAGACATGGGATACCATGGGCAGAGAAGCAGTAGAAAGGTATCAACTGAGACCACATATAAATGCCTTATGTGTGCCCGGCTCTCTAGTGTAGTTGGCTAAACCGGATTGCGCGGTGACCAGGTGACGAACTCCTTTGGTCCGGGTTCACTCCCGGGGGTAGGCAGAAAAGCCATATTTCTCCCAGATTTACGGTTTTTACAATGGAATCAAGGACGAAAAATTGGGATATCCATAATACCGAGCCTAAAGGTTAACAACTCATGGCTTCTGGATACTAAAACAAACAAAGAAACATGCTTTATGTGTCAGAGGCGAGATACAGAGGATATAGTGAAAAGATACTAATAGATTAGTTTAGACAATCATTCTAAGCTTTCTTCCCTTAAAGACGAAGACCAACGGTCTGCTTTGTGTTTCTTGAACAGTTTGCACTCTATCAATCATGCCACCATTGTCACAGGTTGCAGCCCTATGTAATATTCAACTAGCGCAACAAGACAACTATAGTGATGATGATGATGATGGTAACGATGATAATGATTAGGATGATGATAATGATGACGATAGTGACGATAATGATGATGATAGTAATGACGATGACGGTGCTGGTGATGATGATTTTGATAATGATGGTGATGATGATTTTGATAATGATGGTGATGATGATGATGACGGCGATGATGATGATGATCGTGTTGATGGGGATGATAATGGTGGTGATGATGAAGATAACGTAGAGGATGATGATGATAATGATAGTGACGATTGTGATGATGACGGTGATGATAATGATGATGATGGTGTAGGTGATGGTGATGATGATGGTGATGGTGATGATGATGGTGATGATGATGGTGATGATAATGGTGATGACGATGGTGATGGTGATGATGATGGTGAAGATGATGATAATGATGATGATGATGGTGATGATGCTGGTGATGATGATGATGATGATGGTGATGATGATGATGATAATGATGGTGATGATGATGGTGAAGATGATGATGATGATACTGATGATGATGGTGATGATGATGATGATGGTGATGATGATTATGATGATGATTATGATGATGGTGATGACGATGATGATAATGATGATGATGATGGGGATGATGATGATGGTGATGATGATGTTGATGATGATGGTGATGATGACAGTGATGATGATAGTGATGATGATGGTGATGATGATAGTGATGATGATGGTAATAATGATGGTGATGATGATGATGGTGATGATGATAGTGACGATAATGATGATGATTGTAATGATGATTGTAATGATGATTGTAATGATGATTGTAATGATGATTGTAATGATGATTGTAATGATGATTGTAATGATGATTGTAATGATGATTGTAATGATGATTGTAATGATGATTGTAATGATGATTGTAATGATGATTGTAATGGCTAGAAGAATAATTAAGTTCCTGTTCCAGCTCTCCATTTGAGGAAGAAAACATATTCACCCCATTCGACCTGCTGCTAGCACTGAAGCTGCCAGCAACATTCGGTTATATTTATGGTGTAGTTTATTTGTTCCAGGTGCATTGGCTTATTTTGTGTTGTGTGTCCAGGCTGATGGCTTTGTGATTTTTTTTCATTATCTTTTCAGTTATGGAAGTGAATATACACTTCACACACACACACACACACACGCACACACACATACACATATACAAACACTTATATATAAATAAACGTATAAACGAACGAATTACAGTCGCAAATGAGCATAGAAGCTAAAGCAGATAGAATGTCGCTTAAGGAGAAAGACTGTCAACATGAAACGAATCGGCAATCAGCAAGGACTGATGCTAGTAAAGGCGGAAGGATACCAGACATTTATCACAGA